TGGGGGCCTAATTGGGCCCTAGCACTGCATAAATTATAGAATTATCTCATTTTAGTTAGGTAGTTTTATGATGAAATGTGTTTTAAATTTAATGACATTTTGATGTTATGATATGTATTTTCTTATTTAATTAAAAAGTTTCTGGGCTTTTGTATACACAAAACATGAAAATAAACAATATGTGAAATTTTATGTAGATAGCAGCTTATTTATGCAATGCTAAAATGCATATTTTATTATTTCTACCACTAATGGAATCTACATACTCTAATATTCATGGCTTTTAGTAAACAGCCTGTGGCTAAAATATGTATATTTCACTAAGCCTATATTCTACATGCAAAATATGTAGATATCAGAGGTAGATTTGGCCATATACATTATGTGTAAATACATTCTGGATATCAGTAGAGGGGTGGTTCTTGGGATGGGGAATTATTCATTACACTGTTCATCACAGTATATTTAGCATGAATCCTGTTAGAATCTATAGCTGTTGAAAGTATGCAATAATAGTAAAATAATACCATACTCATATAGTTGTTTCTTTTGCCATGGATTCAGGTTCAAGTCAGCAAGCACTAGTCATATAAATCTATAGCAGTTCTCCCAGAAATTTCTACAAAATGACCCCTGAGTAAAACCATAGAGTTTCTGGTGATTACTAGAGCTGTCTTTTGTCACTTCCGGTAAGAACTTTCAGTAAGTGCTTGAGGCTGCATTTTTTAAAAAGAAAATGTTCTCCCGTGGCTGCTCCAAACAGCAGCAGGCAACAGAGTTTGGGGCAGGGGCCACTTGGCAGCCCTATTGGGCCTATCGCTTGGCATCCCCCTTCCCCCCACACACACACACACTGCCATTTCAAGTGCTGAAACAACCTAGGGAATGCAGCTGTTTCAACACTTGATAAGGGATAGTGGGAATGCCTAAATTCATCACACTGCAGACCTGATCAGGATTCGACCCTCACAGCATTTTTAAATGACTGTACATGATGGTGGCGGCAACCTTGTGGCTGCCATGAGGATGCTATCCCATCTAGTTTGGCCCTCAGACAGGAATCCTTCTTCAAAGATGGTACCTGCTGCAGCTCATTTATGCATCATCTAGATAAAAACAAATGCATGCTCTTCCTTATTTAATTGATAGTTCTAAACAAAAAATCTTGGCTTTGTTGCAACTGTTCCTGTGATTATATTTTCAATCAAATAGCTGTATTTATCTTTGGCTTTACAGATCATATATTACTTTGCTTAACTAGGTTGGTCTTGGCTTATAGCAGACATCCATCTGTGAGGTGTCTTGGGTGCAGATTAAAGACAGCTTCCTCTGCACTGAAAGAACATGTGAACATTGTTGTTAGGTCTGAACTGCAAGAAGGCTCTCTCTCTCTCTCTCATACACACACACACACTCTCTTTCCCAAATTCTCTTGTTTGCCATTCTTGTTATGAGTTTCTCCAGAGGCATGCAATCTTCTGACAGCAAAAGATAAAACTGATGGATACAAATGAGTCACGGTAAACCTTAAAAAAAAAAGTGATTCAGTCCCCATGTGAGGGGGTTAAAAAGAACTTGAAAAATTAACTGTTGAGTTATTGTGGAAGATGCAGCTGCACTCAATAAATGAAAATATAAGCCACCTCTTTAGTATTTTGGCTCTGGACATGAATATGTGAGGGGGCTGTAACAATTCAACTTTTTGTATTGTTTTTTGTCAACTTTTTTTTTTGTCGGGAGGAGAGAATAAAACAGCTGTAGTGCAAGATAAACATTTAAGAGTATATATGTCCTCAGCTGGAACACACAACAAAGTTCTATGGATTGTAAAAAAAAATTTCAGCCAGTGACTGCCACTTCATGGTGGTGGTAGAAAGTGCTATCAAGTCACAGCCAACTTACGGCAACCCCCACAGGGCTTTCAAGGCAAGGGGCATTCAGAAGTGGTTTGCCATTGCCTGCCTCTGTGTTGTGACCCTGGACTTCCTTGGTGGTCTCCCATCCAAATACTAACTAGTCCCAACTCTGCTTAGCTTCCAAGATTTGACATGATCAGACTTGCCTGGGCCATTAAGGTAAACACCTAAAATACCTTATGTACATACCTTAAAATATAAAAGATCAATATCCGTGAACACATTGTACCTGTATGATAATCTGCAGGAAACACTGACAGGTTACAGCAAACCCAGGTTTGCACCTGGGTAATGTGTGAAATATATCCTGTGAAATGAGCATAGCACATGTAAAGTTTACCTGAAATGATATCAATTTTTTTAAAAAAAGAACTAACAAATCCCATCCATGCTGAACACAACTTCATGGCCTTGAGTTCCATAATAGAAGGTGGAATATGTGTAATAAATAATTCATTGAAGTTTGAAAGGAAAATAATAATTGTTATGTAACCAGAAAATCACTTTGTGTAAATCTGGCATATTTGCATGCAGATAAAACCATTTTGCTTTGCATTTCACCCACCATAGCTATACTAGAGTATGGAGTAATGTTGTTATACTAAAGGAAGCAGAATCATTATTTTAATGTAGTTTGCACTGAAGACAGTGGGTCTACTCTAAAGACGAAGAGGTGTTTCATTAAATTCAATGAGACAATGCCAATGTCAGTTTGGCCTATGAATAATCCTCTTAAAGGAAAGCGGCTGTAAGTGATTGTGGAGGAGGGGAACAACTCTCCACAACATAAATATGAAACCTGATACTGTTGTCAGTACAATTCCCCAGTGAGAAGGATAAATTGTGGTCAAGACCTAGACAGGTTAACTAGTGGTCATCAGTGCTGGTGGTACCTTTCTACACATAAAAAAGAAGTCAACACTAGTGGACAAGAAATTTGAAACTTAATACTAGCCATGAAACAAGACATGTGTTGGATTCGTATTTATTTTTCTTTAAATGGGCTTTAATTGAAAGATCAGTGAAAATGCAGGTTACAGTTTTTGTGGAATCAATAACTTGTAGTAATGTCTGAACTGTGATTCATCTAATGTTTATTTACTTTCTAATTGTAATTGTTCAAGAGCAATACATTAATAGATACATATATAGCTATATATATAAGATATATACAACACTTTAAGCAATTAATAGTAAATAATAAAGCCCTAAACCCTGAAATAATATAGTTCCTCACGTTGTGTATCTCTTTTTGCACATATAATTGTAAATGAAAAGATACTCAAGACACAAGAGCCGTTTACTTTAATAGCCATATGTTAATGGAAATTCTGGACCAGCCTCTTCTTAATTTCAGCTTTAATTTTATTTTATACAACTTGCTAGCCACATAACCAGCATGGCTGCATGTTAAACAAACCCTAAACATCTACAACAATATTTGCTTTATTTTGTGTGAGGACTTTACACACAAAAAATCAAGAACATTATACAGTTTCTCTAGATAAATGCTGTTGGTTAGACCAAGTTAACTTCAAAGCAAGATTCTCATTTTCAGCACAGAGAGGTTTTTAATTTCAATTTGCCAGCTTTTCAGTCAAGACTGGCAATCTTGTAGATTGTATTTAATTTGGGGGTTTTTTTACAAAGTTTGGTGCAACCTAGTATTTCAGAAGACTACAGGCACATCAACAGCTCCTGCTGTTTCCACAAGAATTTAGAGAAGAAAGAGAGCATAAATGATGTAGTCTGGTATTGCCCCATACTCAGAGCCTAAGCACCCAAAGACCATTGGTACCTTAAATAATGCCAGCCAGTAGTTAGAATTACCGACTAAACCTGGGGGGACCCATGTTTAAATCTCCACTCCGCCTTGAAGCACACTGAGTAAACCTGGACCAGTTGCACTCTCTCACCATACCCAACTCACCGGGTTGCTGTGAAGATAAAATCAAGGCGAAGGGGATAATGTACACTGCCTTCAGCTCCTTGAAGGAAGGGCAGGGGGGGAAATGTAACAGATTGATTGTGTTTGGGAAAAGGTGCCAGAGCTGATGATGATGACAGGAACCATTTTTTCCCCTGTGGTAACTGTTTGCAGGCCTTGGCCACTGACCCCCACCCCCCCACCCCAAATTGTTTTCGCTGCTCTGTTTCCGCACACCTGTGGCACACCATGCAGGAAGGCTTTCCAAATCATCTGCTATCTTTTCCAGGTAGGCTTGAGCACTGCATCTATTAAGCACGTCCTGAAAAGAAGATAGTAGAAGGAAGGGAAGAGGAAACAGTCCAACATAGATCAATGTATCAGTGAAAATAGGTATATTCAGGTCTCTAATA